CCGACCCTCCAAGCGTGCATCTTTTCAAAGCAAGCTAAATTGGCATTGGACAGGAGGATCCGCGCTTTGCTGAGCTAGCACATCACCTTGCAGGGGCAGACGGGGTCCTGGAGATTTGAGGTTGGACCACTTACTAGGCAATGTCCGGGTGTCTAGGCTGCGAGAAAGCTGAGAATTACCTGCAGACTAGTCGGCTCTACTTCTTGCATTGCTGGGTTGCAGGAATTCGACTTATTGAATGTTCTTGTTAAGCATACTGAACTGCATCTACAGGTATCTTTTTTGAATAAGCCGTTTCAACATCCATTCTCCCCAGCCATGCAAAATTGGTTGGAGTCATGGAGCCTGAGCCAGCTGGGCTGACGGCATCCTCCAACCGAATCAAAATTTAGCAGGCAGCATGCTTGTCACGCGACCCCAAACCCTAAACCCTAAGCCCTAAACCCCTAAATCTTGTTGGTGCATACTGCAACCGGTGAAGTCTAATTTGGTAGTTTGCAACAATAAGCGTACCCCAGTATATAGGCCCCGATATCTTAGAATCCTTTTATTGGGACCCCCCAAAAAGGGATCCCTCTTGTAAACTGCCCCGAAATAATCTAAACCTCCAGGTCAAATTTCCGGGGCTGGATGGCCTGGTTTGTGTCTGCCCGAAGGGATCAGAGAGGATGCTGCCAAAGGCACGTCCTACTGTTTCCCTGAACTGGAAGGTCCCTGCAAATTACTTTTCAATGTCACAGGTGAAATCTGAGTCAAATTTGGGTTTCGATCCATTTGGAAGTGTATGCTGGTGATTTGGGGGGTTTCTAAACATGCAGGTACTCCGATACCCTAAAAAGATTTAGCGTTTAGGGTTTAGGGCAGTTTAGGGTATAGACCCCCAAAGTGCGATAGTCCTTTCTATTGGGCCTGTATTTTTTTGGGCTTTAGGGTTTTGCAGGTTCTGATTGTGAGTGCTGGGTCAAACTCAGATGGTTGTACCCATTCCAGCCAACAAAAAGCCGCCGCGCGTGCAGCTGCCAGAATTGGAAAACGGTTTGAGGGAAAAGTTTTGACAAGGAGGACATGGAGCTTTCTAGCAACGGAAATCTGTAGGTACACAGTGTTCCGGTCTCAATTGGGAACCCCCAAACCCTGGACCCTAGGCCCTAAACCCTAATAGAAGGTTTCATGTGGCTGCTGCCTCGCTGCCTCATATCAAGACAACTTCAGTCATAGCTGCAGCATGCACCAAGAAAGCAAAGTCGGCCAGGGTCTACATGAGACAAGTACCTGCTGAGGGTACAGGACCAGAGACAGCGCACAGGTAGTGTAGCGCCTATGCAGCCGTTGTAGCACACGCGCCTGAAGACCCGCTACGTAATCTGAGCAGCTAGATTGTGGAGGGTCGGCAGAAGCCGTGCTGACGGAACTTGCGGAGAAGCGACCCACAGCACTTTCCCTTTGAAAACCTGCAGGTGGGCTGAATGCGCATGACAGACTTTAGGGTGTAGGTCTAAGGTCTGCCCTTGAGCAGACTGTAACAGTGTTCCATGGGCGGATCTACGCATCGCAGTTGAGAGTGACACCGTGGTTTCAAAAGCCTGGTAGATTAGAGCTGTTCTTGCCACTCCAGATCCGGGCATTGCAGGTTGCTTGACGTTTCCTCCTGGGTTGTGGAATATGAAGGAAAAGGCTGGTAGCAAGTGCGGTGCAAAGAATTTCAGGAACATCTCGGGGGCAGTGACTGGGCTGTCATCTGCTCGCTTCCGAGTTCTGGGCTGCCCTGGGGTGGATCATGGTCAACGCAATCACACTGGGCGAAGTACAAATCACCAGCATATTAGCTATTCAATTCCTTAAGAAACACCAAGATGCGCTGGGGCTGGGCCCAAGGCATTCAAAGCAGCTGCTCACGCGCCCGTGGAACATCGCATTAGTCCTCCTCAGAGTGATCCTGAATTGCAAAAGGGGCACGTGACTAAGCATTTCGTGGTAACTGCAGCCCGCCCCCCACGTCCCAGGGTCTGGGGCAAGAATCCATATGGCGTCTGCTAGCCTGAAGGCCCTACACTGTGGCGATCATGCTTGCCTCCATGACGGGCGCCAGCTGCTGGCTCCTAACTGGCCTGTAGTGTAAAGGCAAAGCCTTTTGTCCTTTGTCTTATTCATTCTTGTTATGACCATCATTGTTAGCATCTTCCTTGCTGCACTGCGTCATTCCTTCTTTGGTAGAAGAGCTTTGTCTTGATAGTTGTTGTAGTGCTTCCTTGGCCGAGACGGATGAGGTGAATGTTCCTAAGCCCCCCCGAAAAGTGAGGCCAGCCCACTCCGTATCCTGTTTTGCTGCCTTGCGGGATTCTTCTCATGCCGTCGCAGCGTTCATAAAGGATATCTTGAATACAGTTGCCCTAACCCTGAAACCTACACCCTCAACCCTAAACCCTCTGAGGCCGCAAGCGCGGCATGTTTGAAGAGCCAGACATGCTCGCCAAGCGCCAGTGCGTTCGGACCCTTGGCTGCCACTTCTTGGGAAGGTCCTTGTGGGCTCAGGAGAGGCAACTATTTGGGGGGTACCCAAAATAAGGTGTACCTTTCTTTGAGGTCCCCATAATAAGGATTATCGTATTTTGGGATCTATATTGGGGTCCCCCTGTTTACAGCACGTGTGACTCCTTGGTGTTCCCGGATCTTAAAGATTGGAAGGCCAGTCTCGCTAGCCGGACTGTTTTGAAGGACAGCAGTAACCCTAAGCCCTAAACCCTAAACCCTAAGCCCTAAACCCTCAGCCCGATGCCCTAAACCCCGAACCCTAAACCCTAAGCCCAAAACCCTTTGCTCACTGCGTGCTTCCTTGCCCATGTCCCCAGAAAGCCTGGGTTGCTCCACCCAAGGAACCCGGAGTATCAGCGCCTCGGTTGCTTAGGTGCATATTGGACGGCGATGTGCTATGCTTCAGGTTGTTGGCAGTTGGCAGTTGAAGAGTTTTGAGCGGCAGTGGCACATGGTCCTTGAAGTTCGTTGCTGCCTCTTATGCAGCCACGAAACTGCAATTCAATATTCATTTCATCTAACAAAAACAGCCCCCCAAACCGAGCCTTGATCGCTCCAAGCAAGCAGATCGCAGGGCGGCATTCCAGATGTTTGACCGTGACCTGAGTGGTACGATTGACATCCAGGACGTGCATGCTTGGCTCACATATTTGCCCACTCTGTGGCAGAGAGCACGAACTCCCATACAGAGAAGCTTCGTTAGGACAGCAGCAAGTAGAGCTACACCACCACTGATATATGCAAAGCGGGATGCCGCCGCAGCAGTAAGTCATGCCACCTCTGAAACCGTGGGCAGCTAAGCCTACAATCCTGGAGATGCTGATTGCTGATTGCTGCTGCTGCTGCTGCTGCTACAGCATAACGTCATCCTTTGCTTGTGCCTACGGCTCCCGCCACGGCCGCTGACGCCCATGCCTGTGCCGCCGCTACCACCACCGCTTCCAAGACACCACCAACACCAGCGCCAAATGAGCCGCAACTTAAACTCCTTTATTAAAGGAGGGTTATATAGGGGATTATCTAGGGGACTGCTATAAGAGGATACCAGGAGTTTAGACTATGGCTCAATCATCACATACCGAGCACCGCCCTAGGGCGCCCACGGCACCGGACACTGTACACTGAGCATCTAATACGCTTTATCCCAGACCCCTGATTAATAAACTCTCTCCCCTGAATAGGGATTATCATAGGGATCCGAATATTAAACCACCCAAAATTGGAGGAGGTTTATGAATCACGGGACTATACATTATCCTTGTTCAACAGCTCCCTTCAGCAAGGAGCTGAACTCAGCACTGCAGGCTGTGAAGCTCAGTGTTGATTCTTGGAGCAAAACCAGTGGGCATGGGAAAGTCTCGATTGCTATTAAAAGACTTTTTTACATTTCTATAAGAAGAAAATCCGGTATCTACTACACATCCTTAGTATGGTAACTTAATTAAAAGGAGTTCTTCGACAGCGACCCAGCCCTTCATGGTTGGATCAGGGTTCATGCGGTCAACATAGATTTAGGGTTTAGGGTTTACGGGTTGAGGGCTCAGAGTTAGGGTTTCGGGTGGGATGTTCTGAGCACATCAACATGGAGTTGAATCAAGAGGGCCCCTTTGAAAGAGATCGTGCATGGTCATGAAGTCGTTCTTGGACAAATTGGAGGGTTGTCAAGGCTTGCTGAGACTTGCAGCAGATCACAGGTAGGTTGAGGGCTTGGATTTTTGGGGAACCCATTTACATTTGTTGGAGGTTCTGGTTCACATGAATTAGGGCAACTGCCCGTCAAAAGACATGTGGTGTGCCTTGCGAAGCGGACACAGGAAGCTGAATCAAGGAGGAGCAGAGATAGGTAAACCCCATAGAACCCGAAGAAAACCCTCTAGAATTGTATAGAACCCTATCAAATCCCTATCTACTCCCTACGCAACCCCCCCGAGTATAATCCCTACCAAAATACTGTTATCCTGGATCCTTATTATAGGGGTCCCCAAGAAAGGACCCCCCACTATTTTTTTTTCAAGACCTAAAGCTCGTACATGCTTGCATATCCTCAGATAGCCTTGTGCATCCTGCACATCCCTCTACATATCCCCCATAACCTCTTGGTAAATAGGGACCGCTGAAGCAGCCTCCGGTTTCTTCCATCTCAGATAACGACGGAAAAGGTTTCATGGATTAGGGTTTGGGGATTGGGGTTTAGGGTTTCAGGGTTTGGGGATTGGGGTTTAGGGTTCAGGGTTTCCGAAGTAGGGAGCCCAATATAGACCCCAAGAGACTATACTCCGTATTATGTGGCTTCCCAGATTGAATGGGCCTCGAATTTCGGGAACCCGTAGGTAGGTTTTGGCAGGAACCATTCAGCAGCTCGTGTGAATGATCGCCCCTGACCCCCTTCACAGTGCTTCTGCTTTCTGAGTGCCATTTAGCAACAGATTGGTTCTTGACTTAAGCTCCCACAGTGTCGTCTGGTCCATATGCTGGCCGTTCACGTATCGAACGCGGCCACAGGCGAAGAAATCTGTGTCATCGCTGCAGGTCGCGACTGGACGGCACATGAGCTCAATGTGAAGCTTGCGAGTCAGCGGGATGCCATGCCACATTCCCAAGTGCTCTTGCACGGGGCGAGGCCTTTGCAGCAACTTGAGCGCCTGCACGAACTGCTGGACGAAGAAGAGGCGAGCACACTCAAGCTCCAACTGCTGCGCAAGTCGTGGGTCGTAACCGTGGTAGACATTCGGCCCAAAGGCTCCGATGGCGATCTTTGGCATCGAGAGATAGATGTTGAGGCTTATCCTGAATGCTCCTTCGAAGACTTTGCTGCCTGCGTTGCCAAGAAGCTGGATTTGGAACCTGCGACCCGGCCGGAAATTGTGTTAGCTCGAGAGGTGATTGATTGGCGGGAGAGATCTACATCTTTAGCCACCTTGGGCATCCACGCAGGTTCCAAAGTGCACGTGATAGGAACTGCAAACCTACGCATGATGTCAAGAGGAAGACCTGCCCCAGACAGTCGGAGGTCAGAGTTTTTGGAGTCAAACTCTGCGCTGTGCTTGATGGACCAGTGCCAGGCAGGCGAGCTACTCCCCAACCCCGCTTGTAAGGAACCTCCTGCAGATGATCCTGCAGTTCAAGAGTTCAAGGTGCTGCACCCTGGTCAATCTGAAATTTCTTGTGACAGCCTGGTGCAAATTCCAGGCCTCTTACAGAGGCAGGAATGCAATTCAATTATTAGTAGAGCGCAAGAGCTGGCTGTAGCGCCTATGGACGTGGAATGCTTCTTGGGCACCCGGCGGTACCAGCGCATCGTGGTCCGGGACGAAAAACTAGCCACGAGGCCGTGGGAGAGGGCCTAAACCCTAAACCCAATCTAAACCCTAAACCCAATCTAAACCCTAAATCCCAATCCCAAAACCCCATTGTAGGCTGTGGGAGAGGGCCAAGCCTGCAATTGAGCAAGCCTTGGCTGAGCAGAGCAAGAGGCCGCGTGGCTTTGGCTGTGCGCAGGGCGACTGGGAGTTGGAAGGGCTGAACTCGTGCTTCCGTGTGACTGGGTTGCTGTTAAGGAACTTAAATTAAGTTACCATACTGGGTATGTATATATAGTACATAATATGGTTTCCCCAGTAAGGAACTTAAATTAAGTTCCTTAACAGCGACCCAGGTAAACTCCTATGGTTCCCGGGGCTTCCTAAAGCCACACCGTGATGCGCCTTTCAGCCCGGAAATCAACGTACGGTCGCTGTGTACATTGCTGGTCCCACTATGCTCTGCTGGTAAAACCCGCTTCTTCCATCCAGTGCAGCATTTGGACTATCGGGGAATGACCTTAAAGGAAGAGCTTGAAGCTCGTGGAGGGCTAGCTGCTGGCTTCCATGCCCTGGACGTCTCACTTTCGGAAGGGTCTGGGCTCCTGTTTGGCCAGAGCCTTCTCCATGAAGGTATTCCAGCAGAGGGTGAACAGTGCAAGATGCTCCTGCGCACCGATGTCCTGGTACGGCGGAAGCCACCGGTCCCTGGGGTCCTGCTCACAGCTGCCGAGCGCAAGGATCAGGTAGCTGCCCTGCAGTGGTTCAGGGAGGCTCAGCACCAAGACTTGAAGGACCAGCCTAGCAACAACCTTTACGAGCGAGCTCTGTCTTACCGCTACTTCCACCCTAGCAAAGATGATGCAGAGTCCCTGGAAGCTATGTCGGAGTCAGATCCTACATCCCAGGCCGGAGATGCGGTGCCTCTCCCGAGCCTGCTTGAGAAGTATTCGGACTTCACTCTGCCAGAGTTGGCCGTTTTGAAGGGCGCTGTGGCAGCCTTCAAGCTGCCAGAGCAAAGCGGGCAAGCCCGCGGCAACGGGTATGGCAAGGACTGTGACCGGGTTCACGCATCCCAGTGCACTGCAAGGCAGTTGCGTGTTTCTGCCATGTATGCTCTCCACCTCCTGGGCCACCATAGCTACGGGGACAGATCCGCGGTGTACACCGTGAACTTCGACCCGAAGACTCAACAGGCTAGGGTTTAGGGTTTAGGCAAAGGGTTCAGGGAAATAAGTGATAAACAAGGGTGGTTTATGGTGTTGTAGGCGGGGAGAAGCAGATTCTCATCAGATGATATCCTGCAGTCTCTTCCGGCTCCCATTCCAGATCACGCTCTGGTGCTTTCAAGCCTTAAACCCTAAACCCGAAGCCCTAAATCCTAAATGCGAGTGCTTCGTAACAGACCTATAGTCCCCCTTAAGTAGATAGAATATGGGGCATACGTTCTACCCAAAGCCATATTCTATCTACTTAAGGGGAACCTTAAACCTTAAATCCTAAACCCTAAACCCCAAATAGTAGTTTCCATTTTCTTTTCCACTATCCCAATATAACCCCAAGATGTTCTATCCACTTAAGGGGGACTATAATACTGAACCCTAAGCCCCAAACCCCAAACCCCAAACCCTAAACCCTGAACCCTGAACCCCATACCCTTCCAGGTGACAGCCGTATCCCTTGGTGACCTGCTATTGGCGGCCTTCGAGGCGAAACCTTGCTATGGAGCAGTCTACAACGTGGCTGGGTTGCTGACGATTTTTGCAGTATTTAAGGGATTAGGGTTTAGGGGTTCGGG